ATATATATAGTGCATTGTGGTAGCGTAGTTTGATCCCGATATAAATATTTTTTTTGAAGCTTTAATTACTGGTAAAAATACATTTTGGTATTCTTTACTATAAGAATCAATCTAATATATGCTAAATGAAATCTATTAGATTATTGGAGTTGTATTTGTACAAAAATATAAAATCCAAAAGAAATGTAGTGTGAATTTTTTTTCATTCTATATAATAAATTATCATTAATTGATTTTGCACATTAAAAATTTCAATGATGAATTACTGTTTCTCTTAAATCTAAATAGCCGCAAATAAGATCAAATTTGAGAAATTACTGTTAAGGTTTATCTATAACGCAGAAAGGGTCCCATGATATATTTCATAACCATTAATTATTAAAAGGCTAAATATAATATGTTTCACTAGTTTTGAACTAAATTAATACAAAATAATCAAAAAATTAAGAAAAATATTTTATAATGAAAACTCTACATCAAAGAGTTAAGCCCTTGAATAAAAACTTAAAAATAATAAAGCCAAGAATTCTATGATATACTTCTTTGTGAGATGATTCTTTGACAAGTAAGTAATATTATTTATTTAGCATTATTTATAGTTACTTTTATTTACTAGGTACCGATGAAGAAGATGTCATTATGTCAGCCTTTTCTATTTTTGACGAAGGCGATGGAAAAATGAAAGAGGAAGTGTGAGTAAATGTCATGAAATGATAAGATCAAGATAACATTCAGTTTACATTACACGATAAGTTAATTTTTGATAAGAGGCTGTTTTTTAAATTATTTTAATTTTAATTTTGATAAATAGAGAGAAAAATAAGGAAAAAAATAACAAACCTCTTAAAGAAGTCTGTATTACCAACTTACAAAAATATTTTTATTTTTAAGTTGATGTGATACAAAAATGTTTAACTACATGTCTAAAAATTAACTCGTTCCTTCTGCAATTAAAATATAAGAAATAATACAAATTGTTTATACCTATTTTATTCAGACTGTCGCTACTTCCTACATTTTGAGGATCTAAAATCTGAATCAGTTGAAAAAAGGTATATTCATGAAGAAAATGGAAGTGTTCGTGATTTCTTAACTTGAGAAAATCACCGGTGCTATTTAATTCGCATAATAAAGAGTAGGTCCTCAAAACATTAAGATTGAGTCCTTGTACGTGAAAATCCGATCTGTAGATCAAAAGGTATCTAAGGGTAAATTTTTAATTTTTTGCACCATTCAACAATGAACATGAACATGATACTTACAAGAGACTTAAAATCTGTAATCTGTGCGGAGAAATTTTTATAAAAATTAACTATAAATAGCCATTATAATTAATATTATTAATAATTTAAGAAAGTTTTTTATAATTAATTATTAGTAATTTAAGAAAAAGTGCGCGCAACTCTTGCAATATTCTTTTTTGTAAAAGTGAAATACAGAGAAAAGAGCGCCGGTATTTGTCAAAAAAATGGAAGCTTGGACAACACTTTCAGACAGCAAATATGAAAAGATTCTTCACAAAAATTGAGGGACTACACAACTCCCCACACAGTCCTGGGGCACGGGACAATTATATTCTTGTTATATAAAAATTATAAGCAAAATTATATTCTTGTTCATATTCCTGATTATTATTAATTATATTCCTGAAAACTTATATTCTTGTTTATATTCCTGATTATAATGAATTATATTCCTGAAAAATTATATTCTTGCTACATAAAACTTTTTCTAAATCTTTTGTTTCGTTTAATTTGTTTGAATTTTTCTATAGTTATATAGCAATAAAACGAAGAGAAAATAAATTTTTTTTTTTCATAAAAATGTCCACATACTCCATGAATATTAAAGCTAGATACACGACAATTTTGCGCAATTATTGCATTTGATAACCGAAGTAACTTATGCAAGTTATAAGCTTATCTCTATAATTTTTATCATTGGGGGCTCAAACACATTCCTTTTTTATCGTAATTTAATGCCGGTCCCTTAAATCACTAAAAACTTTAATCTTTTATAGATATGTATCAGAAATCGCATGTCCTAAACACTTCTAAAGTTTTGAAATAATTCTCTAAGTATTTCCTGAGAAATATGAAAAAATGAGTTAGTATAGAAGTATAATCATAATTTTGCCCAACCCCTGTATCTTTAAACATTTTTCAGTACCCCGAGGAAGATCAGCCACACATCTTATTGCAAGGCATACCAATACTGAGATGTGACTTTTTTGTAAAATTATATTTTTCTTAGATTTTTGAAGTCGCAGCTGTTTTAGTGCTTAATGAAAAAGTTTCTCCTTTAAACTTCTTCATTTTTAATACTTTTCACAATTTACAAAATATTATTCCCTTCCTTTAAAATTTTTAATTTTTTGCAACCTTGCAAATAACGGTTTTACTGTGATACAGCCAGTATAGTAGTTTCTCATATTTTACTACCTCATATAAAGGGGAATACTTATGTAGATGCCAATTTTAAGTTCTATTTCTCATACTTTTCAGATTAAAAAGCACATTACGCAAGAGAGGAGACAAATTTACGGAAGAAGAAGTAAGTTTTATTTTTAGTATCAGTTTATATACTAAATTTTAAACACTGTACTCTCGAGTCGTACAAGATTTAAATATTGTCACTGGGAAGTGTAAAATTTTTTTCTTTAAGAAAAAACATACAACTTAAAGATTGTGGGAAAATTTCTGCAATATTGTGCTTTGTGAAAACTTCCGAATAGTAGAACATTTTGTGCTTTGGAACAATTTTATTTGAGTCAATTTAATGCCACTAACAAAGATTTCGTTTCTTTTAAGGCAATAAATTAAGAAAGGGAAACATTTAAAAAACATTAAGAAAGGGAAACATTTAAGATTGCAATTCTCACAATAATGATCAAGGTTAAAATATTAAGAAGCGAAAAATGACCTAGATACTATAAAAAAAAATAAAAAACTGATGAAATTAAAAAAAAAACTTTATTTGCAGTTTTATTATAACTCTAAAATGTTTTCTGCAATTTTTCTTAAATCGAAATAGCATGCTTGTCAACTTTTACGGTAGCTGAAAAATAATTCACGAACTGGGAGTGAAACAACAATTAAAGTTAGAAATATTTTCTGAAAGTTTAACTATTTAAACATACAAGAGAAAATTAAGCTAACAAATAGATCATATCCACTTGTTTTTTTTTATTACCGATTTTTCGTGGTAGGTAGAAATCTTTTTTGAAGCTCTAAACTAAAGATTTAACACGTCAAAACGCTATAATGTTGCTACCTCTAAGAAAGAAATTTCTCAATGGCCGTACAAGATGGCATGTAATTGGTCAATTTTCATTGATATTTTATGATTTTATTTATTTTAGGCCGACATATGTTTAAAAGAAGCTCCTGTAGATAGAGAAGGATACATTAGTATAAGAAGATTTACAAGAGTTCTCACAAAAGGCGATGATGATGATGATACTGATGGTGGTTAAAATCTGTTTAATAAAGTAAATGTGTTAACATCTTCTAACACGAGCATTAAATGCTGGACTAATTTACAAGTATAACTCATTTGATAATTTTCTTTTAAATGAGGTTTTCCAAGTTGAAAAATTAAATATTTCGCTGAGTTTCGTAATACTTGCCAAGCTAGTTATGTTAAAACTAAAAGTTAAATGTTAAACATAAAGGTATTTTGCAAAATAGACATCACAAGCTTAAAGTTAATGCATTAAAAATTATAAAAATAAAATAAACCTAATTAAATGGGGATTGTAACGAAACCCCCTGTATAATACTTTCTTACATTAAGTTTTTGGATATAAATCTTTTCTCCATAATTAATCCTAAAAATTGATTTTTAGTAATGAGGCTCTAAATAATTTATTTTTATAGGCGTTTTGCTAAACTGAAATATTTTAGCAAATAGGAATTTATTACGTATTTTTTATGTGACTATACACCCAAAGACAATATCTATATTTTTAACTTTCGAACGGCTTGAGTTGTAGTGGTGTTTAGGTGTTCATATAAAGTAAAGTGACTATGAGCTGCAATGTGGCGTGCTGTTTAGCACGACATATGTTGAAGTTGGTGTTCTTATTTTGAAAACGGGGAAAGATAGGGTAAACATAGAACTCAATGGTGCAGAGTATCACCGATTTAGACAAAAGATTACGCTAGAGGGAAAAACCGTTTAAATTGTCTCTTGAAGTTCCAGTTTAGAAAATCGCAAACAAACGCGTGTTGTAAGCTTTTCTTTTCTTCTTGCATTAATTCCAACAAGGTTTCTAAATCGATAATGTTCAAATACTTCGATATTCTCTTTCCTAATTTCATTAAAGGTACAGTATTCCATATGGCGCTGCGAGAGGTTTGACTTTGTAGCACATAGCCACTTTACTATACTTTGACGCCACTGTTATAACCATAGTTGAAGCTTTTCGAAAGTTATAAGACTTGATTTGCACTGGAGTAGGATTCCTATACTGAGTGTCCCAGGATTATTGTTACAAACTTTAAGAGAAGGTAGATGACACTACAAGGATTCAAAATTGGATAGCAACTCATGGTTGAGAGAGTTATTAAAAAGTAGTATACAGGAAACAAAGAGACTGAAGATAGAAATTATCTGAGATATTTATTTGTCAAAGACATTACATGTGCTGCAATTGATAATATGGGAAAATGTTACAAAAGATGTTCAAAGTTTCCACCATTGCTCGCAATACATGCCTCACACCGTCGGGCCATGGATTGGTGAACTCGTTCAAATACACCCGGATTTTGTTGGATATCCGCAACAGCAAAAGCGATTCTAACACCCAGATTCATTTAGGAATCCACAGGCATTGCGTACGCAAAACTTTTCAGTGTACTCCAAATAAAGAAATCCATGCTGCTTAAACCAGGAGAGTGTGGTGGCCAGAACTGGTTCACCAGGCCTAATCCATTTTATAAACAACACTAACCTAGCGGCAAATGGCGATGTTTCCGACAATGGGTTGCTATGCAAATCTGAATCTTTGTGATATAATATTTAAATCTGAATCGTTGTCACCTTCTTTAACTCCGTTACCATTGCAAATCTGAATCTTTGTTACCTTCTTTAACTCCGTCACCTTTGCAAATCTGAATCTTTGTTACCTCCCTATAAAGTATATTCCAATAATTCTAGGACACTCTGTATGTAGCATACTATTTTTATTTTTTGGTTAAATTTTAAAATGGATGTTAAACTGCGAGCGATGCAAAATATTTAATATACTGGAATATTATTCTGTTTACTGTCTATAATTTTCAATTAAGATTTTAAAGAAACATTTGAGATGCCTGGAATCCTTCATTGATGATTTATTTTTCTGTTGTAAATTTTTTGAACAGGTTTATGATTTGAGTTTTTGATACTTAGGCAGACTTACTTTATTGTTTTTTAAACTAATGAGTCAATTAAATTAGTTAATCAATTGAGTCATGAGTTAATCAATTGAGTCATTAGTAATCAATGAGTTAATCAATTGTTTCCATATTCAGCAGCTGATTTTGAGAAAGTAAAAAAATCACTTGGATAAGAAAAGGGTATGTAACTTTCATTTTCAGTGTTAAAACTGATATTACACAATGGTGACTAATAAATAATACTATTAAATGAAAATAATTTTAAATAATAATAATAACGTTTAACACTTTTAAAATATTAACTTGTTAGCTTGCATATAATAAACTGTTCATAATAAGCGTACTTATTTACTAATTGAATAAATAAACGTTTCAACAATAATCAATACTTATTGTCATAATTAACTATTAAAGCACGAAAAATTGACAGAACTTTTGTCGTGATACTGGAAAATATAACGGAAAGTAATTGAGTATGGGCAAGGACATTAAATTAAGAATTATATTCCTTTTGTTATTTTCTTTCCCAAGTTTAAGAAAAATAATGTCCTAATGTCTTTTTAAACTGTCGTGACAGAAAATACTTAAACTTTTTAAATTAAGTTGTTAAAAATTATGTATGTAATTTTTATTTTTATTCATAAAAATGATGCGTGTTCAGAGCACGTTATTAATGTTCGATATTAAAAATAGTATTCAAATTCACAAAAATTTAATAAGTAAACAGACAAACAAATAAATTAATAAATAAGAAAGATAATTTTTAATATTTCCCAAAGATAATTTTTTCGATTCATTAGATTTGAGTGTAACCATTTTTGACATAATGACATTATTTTAAAAATCAGTTTATGATATAGCTGTCAAGATCTTTGTCACGATGTCAGATAAAGGTTGTTTTTCGAAGGCTCCGTCTTAATATGAAATGATGCTTTTTTGCGAATAATATACTATTTTTATAACTGCTGTGAGTTTACAACAGTTACTCATGGCTGTTAGGTCAAGTTTAGGTCTCTGTCAACGCTTATTTTGAAAATAGCGCAAAACGTCATTATTGAGAAAAGCCACAGTTTTGTGAAAACGAAAGCGCTTGCGGTCTAATTTGTTAATATTTAAAAACTAACTCGAATGCTGCATTACCTGAGCTCATAGAAATTTGCAGAAACTGAGAATAAGGCAAAGTTTTTGATAATTTTCATCTAGGGTGGAAAAATGTCGCCAAATTGGCGATTTTAAGAAAAGTTGTTAAAATATTTATATTGTTTGTTTTAAGCTGTTGTTTGCTTAGTTTGCTGTTGCCCAGATAATTCTTTACGGCAAGATTATATATATAGTTTAAAATCATCGCATTGTTTCAAGTGTAAGGCACTTAAACTATGTATTTTTTTATTTTTCTTGAAGACAGACCATCGAAAAACAACGTTAAGGGGATTAATTGCTACGAGAAATTTATAAAACAGTTAAAAAGCGTAATTGATTGATTGATATCAATTGGTTATAATATAAAGAAATTAAGAAATTTTAGGTGAAAAAAAATGACTATAATGATAAGTTAAAAATTAACGATTAGTAGAAAACAACTATATTAAAATGCATCTTATAAAATGAGGAACATTTTTTTTTTAATTTGCAAAAATACGTAGTTTGAAAAACGTGACATTTTATTAAAAAGAAAAATAGCGATTGTTCAAACGCATTTTCAGTATTGCAGATATCTGAAACTATTGCAACTTTGAACCACCAATCAGAATTCAATAAATATTTGAAATTACAAAAATTGACTTGTATAAAACTACTCTTCTTGATTTTTCAAGGAAAAAAAGAAAGTTATTGTGGAGGATTTTTATGGGGTTTTTACAGTGCTTTTAAAATGAAAAGTAGTTGCTCGCATATAACATCTTCGAGTTGAGCGATTTATATAATATATGACCTTAAGTCAACACTTGCATACCTGAAAACTCTTCCGGATTTCCCGACAGACTTTATTTTTATATTCATTCTGGTAACAAAATTTATGAATTGCACATTTTGTTATTGTTCAACTTAATACGATAAAAAATAATTTTGATTTTTTGTATATATATATATATAGAACTTATATTAAATTTGAAATCCACACACTAGAATTTAAGTATTTGTATAAATGCAACAAAAGTGGCCTGCTAACTACTATGACTTTTGCAAACTATTTTATAGAGTGGCAGACTTTTTTAAACTGAAGCTTTCAAAATGTTTAGTAATCTTGACAACATTTTAAATGCCTCACCTCCCATATAGAGCTGGAACAAAGTGAACATTTATCTGTAGTGGTGTGGAAAATAAGTTTAAATGAATACTTTAAAACATAAACTTAGCTACCACTATAGTAAGTTTTACAAAAATCGTTGAAAGTCTTCAGCCCTGGAATAAGTTTTCAATAAGTTGGGTAACCGAAAAAGTTTTCTTTTTAAAAAAAAATAAAATAAACCTGAAATATTTTCGCCGTTAATTTTCAAACATATGTCTGAACGTAGAGATTGCTTATAAACACAATACGTTTTCATAAATATATTTTTACAAGACTCACATGCAATGTGCGAAAATAGGCATAAACCGTGTTCTTTAGGTTTTAATTAGTAGCTATAATCTCGGTACTTCAGATCTCTAAAATATATCACAGATATGCCGAATCATGAAGCAACTCCGTCACTACTTTTTATTTTAAAAAAGCACTGATCTATTATATCGGGACAACTAAGACTTTTAGACTTATTAGTTGCTTTTACTACTGTTGTTATAATTATTTTATGTGTTTTGTCTGTATTGTACTTTTTTAATGTAATTTATTTTTTTAGATCGAGAAGGCGCTATACTGAGGAACACTAGAGCTGCCGGCTGTACTCATACTCATCATTAGTTATGATTTTTTTTGTGAAAAATAAAAATGTTCCTCGCATTGAGTTGTATTCACATTATTTAAACATATTCCCAAACATACCATTTTTCACACTTTGTAGAAAAATTTCTTCCAGAGGTAGCTTATTAACATAGTGAAATATGCAAAAAGTAAAATTACCATTAAAAGGTCCAAAGTATGGACCTTTCTCCTGACCAAACCATTTAATTCATTTTTTCCTGATTATGGCTGCTTCTTATATTTTTGAGGGTCAGAAATCCAAATTCGTCGGAAAAAAATTTTGTTTATTCAGAAGAAGCACGTTTTTGCATCGAACTTCACAACTTAAAATATCGTCTGCACAAATTAATTAGCATATTTGAGATCATCTTCTCAAAAAATTAATATTGAGTCCTAGAGAGTGAAGATCCAATTATTTCATCAAAAGTCACTCAGGATAGTCCGTTTTTTATTTAGCGCATTGTACAAAATACAGTGAAACCTCTCAGGAGCGACCATTCTCGGTTCTACAGTTCAATGGTCGTTACTGGAGGTTGGTCACTCTTAGAAGATACCTCCATTGACTTCAAAATATTATCATTTCAAAGTGCATCATTTTTCGTAAACGATTTTAATTTTAGTCATTGTCATTTTCTTGGTGCGGAAATGGCACCAGTGGTGGGGCCATGAAAACTGGATTGATAAATAGAAATGATCTATATGGATACACACCGAAGAGCCATTACATTATGACCCCCTGCTTATAGCATGTAGGACCACCTTTAGCCCTCTGCTAGCACCCGCAGTGGCATTGATTCCACAAGGTGTTGATAGGTAGTCTGAGGTATCTGGTACCAAGTGCTCACCAACTGATCCTGCAATTCCCTCACATTGCGAGGGGGTAGCGTGGCAGCACGGATTTGGTTTCCGAACTAGGACCACAAACGCTCCATTGGATTAAGGTTAGGTGAATTTGGGGGCCAAGACATGACTTGAAAGTCACTGGAATGTTCCTCGAACCAATCCATGACGACTCGACCCTTATGACATGGTGCATTATCTTGTTGGTAAACACCATCCCCCGCAGGAAAAGCTGTTGCCTTGAATGGGTGAACCTGGTCTGCAACTATGTTCAAGTAGCTTACAGACATCAGGGATTGTTCTATGAAGATTATGGGTCCTAATGTGCCCCATGAAAACATTGTTCCTGGGCGAGATACCATGAAAACCTGGGTGAGCGCATTGTTATAGATGGAGGGTGGTCATAATGTAATGGCTCTTCGGTGTATATAATCATGTACAAAAACAAATTTATGAGATATGAATGATAGAGCTATTTTAAATAAGTAAACAATTATGTTTTTTGATTAAGTTTGCATTTAATTTTATATCATAAGAGTTAGTTAGCTTTAAAAGATGAGAAGAAGTTCGTTTGTTTGTTTGAGAAGCTCAGTTGTTTCTAAACTAACTTCTTTTTCCTAATTCAACCTACAACACTAAAAATAATTATTCATAGCATCGCTTTTAGTGCACTTTAACAGCAATATGAGGTTGTAGATTCCATACCTGCCAACTCTTCCGGATTTTCCGGAAAATTTTATTTTCATACTTAAAGTGGTAGCAATACTCAGGTTATTCCAATTAACTTTTTGAATTATAATGATAATTATAGATGAGTCTGACCACCACTACATATAAATAATTACAATAAGTATATGAAAGAATAATAATCAATACGCAAGCAAATTTCAACGGGATCAAAATATAAATATATTTTTGAATCAGATTGATTTTTGGCTATTGTTTTACAACCACTCTAGCAATCCATTCTCGGAAGGAGTGAAAGTTGGCAGGTATGAGATTCCCTTCAGAGATCGTCAAAAAGAGCTTTCTAAATAAAAACCTCTCACAGATATTTTGAACATATTTATTACATCGACCTCTTTATTCTGTTAATATTTTTTTGTTGATATTTTTTCGTGTTTCCTTGTGTGATTTTCTCTGCATTAGGAGCACAGGTTTTGCACAGTCTCTGGGAGTGGTTATAATGGTCTCTCAGGGCTGCCAACTTTCTACGCTTTTTGTAAAACTTTACTCTAGTGGCAGCTAAGTTTATGTTTTAATGTATTATTTTGCATTCTTTTAAACTTATCTTCTGCACCACTACATATAAATAATTTTAAAGATTATATGCAACGCCACTTTTGTTCCAGCTTTTTGCCTATGACCGAGTCTGGCATCAGGGCCTCGTATACAAGCTCATAAATTTCAATATCCCCAAAGATCTAATAGTACTAATTAATAATTATCTGACAAACAGAACTTTTCATATTAAGATCAATACAGCATTTTCTTCCGCTAGAAACATTAAAGCAGGAGTTCCGCAAGGTTCAATTCTCGGCCCTGTGCTCTACCTAATTTATTCAGCAGACTTTCCAAATTCTAATAATATGAGAAACATCACCTCAGCCTTCTACGCAGATGATACAGCACTTATGAGCAGATCAATAAATCCCAAGAAGTCTGTTACTAATCCAGGGTTCCCGCGGTCCTTGAAAAATTTAAAAAGTGGTAGTAAATTTGGGGTGGAGCTACAATATATTTTTTTGTTTTAGTATGCTTTTTCATCGTAAAGTGCTGAGATTTTCGTGAATATATATATTTTTTAGAAAACATCCTTTAGTGGTGGCTACACAGAAATAAAAATGTCAAAATTTCTTTTATTTTTATTACCACTTTTTAAAATTCTCAAGGACCGTGGGAACCCTGTAATCTCAGTAATATCATACCTCATATCGAAGCCTGGTGCACAAAATGGAAGGTAGCCATCAACACCACTAAATCTTCACTACTAATTATTAGGAAATCAAGTAAAAAGAAAGTCATTTATCCAAATATTACTCTTTTCAATGATGCAATACCACTAGTTCGAAAGGCCACCTACCTAGGCGTCACTCTTACTAGTACTTTAAACTGGAATACCCATATTGAAAATATTCTTAGCAAAGCGCAAGGAGCCTATAGATCTCTGAAACCAATATTAAACTATAATTCAAAACTATCACTCAAAACAAAACGAACCCTATACCTCCAATGTATTCGACCGATCATCAGCTACGCAGCCCCTGCATGGAGCACAACCACTGTTAGTCAAAAGAAGAAACTGGAGATTTCTCAAAATAAATTCCTCAGATATATCACAGGAGCCCCCAGATCCATGAGAATGAAAGATCTAAGACGAGAGTTCAAAATCAACAAAATAGATGAGCACATAGCTGAACTATGTGCAAGTTTCTTCAGAGATGCACTCTCTTGTCATACGTGCAATTACTTTAAAAATTTTGATTTTGAGCTCATCAAAGACAACATAAAATATAGCCCGGCAACCACCTTTTTCCTATCCGACGGAGTTTTGTCCCGTCTTCTCTCTCTCAAACTTGTTTGTTCAATCTCACTACTTCATTTTAATTTTCTCTCAGTAAAAAATACTGAACCCCAACTTTCACCTTTCAGTTGCGCTTCGGCGATTTATCATTTATTTCCACTCAGATGAATTAGTTGGAGCCCCTAGCGGGGCTGATGCTAAGATAACCAACACATATGAGTATGAGTTCAAGCTTTTTCGTGCTGAAACTTTTAAAATTTTGGCAAAATTACCAAACATTATGAAAGTTTTGGTACATAAATGTCTACCAATCTGTAAAAACTTTTGCAAAAAACGTAGTAGTTGGCAAGCCTAGTCTCTCCTAAAGTTATCTTCAACACGAAGTCTAAGGGAAATACCGTGCCTCTCAAAAGTGTTCGGAAATAGAGGAGGTATCTACATAAAAGTGGTCTTTCTCGAGGTTCCACAGTATATAAAAACATTTCCCCAGGAATGTTGTATAGGATTTACCCACAAGTCTTACCCTTTAACACGTTGAATGCCATGGGGGTCACCGGTGACCGGCACTGAGTTTTTTCGTAACACCACGGGGGTTACCGGGGACCGGCGAAGCCAAGATTATTAGAAACACACAATTCGAGTAAATTTTTAATGCTTTTGAATTTTTATATTATTATCGTTATTGAAGAAAGTAATGCACTACAGAACACACAAAAATCATTTTGGCCAGACGGGCAAGCCATGTAAAATTGGCGTGGCATTCAACGTGTTAACCTTTTCGGGACGGGCAAGTCATAAATGTATTAGTACGGAATCAGAATCAGATAGTAAAAAATAAAAAGTAGTAGCTTAAGTTTGGGCATAGCTATTTTGACTGGCCTATTCTTGCTTTCACTTTAAATCTAATACATCTAATCCTTGTGTGTTAAAAGTGTAACTACACAATTTTTAATTCGAACTAAGTAGTGGTGAGTTAAATAAAGCAAATTATTATTACCCCGCCCACAAATAAACTGCAATAAATAATATTTAGGCTACCAGTTTTATTCTTTTTAAACTGATTATCGACACCCTGAGAATGCATATATGACTCGCCCGTCTTGAAGAGGTTAATGGCAGGGCATAAAAGGGGTGTGTACTTGAAAAATACATGTGCGCAAGAAGTAGTAGCACATACCACTTGTATATCCAATCAGAATTTGAAATTGATTTAAATAAATATTAAGATAAAAATTGTTGGACAAAACTTTAAAATGATAAATCAAAATGGAAAAACGCTAAAAGCAGCTAAATTCAAATTTGTTTTATGCAAACAATTTAAGTAAAAAGTCAGAAACCAAAACTAAGCAAAACGAAATTTCAAAGATATGTATGTTAGCAAAAATAGCACTTCATCAGGGGACACACAGTCTACTTACACACTGGAGCCTTTTCGTAGTCAGTGGTTAAACCAAAAGCTGACTGTTAGAGGCAATATTTAAATTTTTGAGGTATTGCATTTTCTTATTTAGTTTTTCCATTATGGGGACTCAGGACACAGTCTGCTTTGGGTTTAAATACTTACTACAGAAAGGTTAACCAAGTCAGTGGTTAAACCAAAAGCTGACTGCGTGAGGCAATATCTGAATTTTTGAGGTATTGCATTTTCTTATTTAGTTTTTCCATTATGGGTCATCGGGACACAGTCTGCTTTTGGTTTAACCACTTACTACAGAAAGGCTCCAGTGTGTTAGCAGACAGTGTGTCCCTGGATGAAGTGCTGTTTTTGCTAACAGACATATCTTTAAAATTTCGTTTTGCTTATTTTTGGTTTCTAACTTTTAATTTAAATTGTATACTATTTGTATATTAATAGGTTAAATTACTTGTTGATTCCCGTTCATCTTAAAAACTTCTATATCATGTATAAAAGTATTCTGTGTCAAATGCAACAAATAAAGATGTGTCATTGTTTTCTTTTAAAAGCTCTTTATTAAAATTTGATCTAATTCTAACACAAAAAGGACATATTGTAACAAAATAGATATCGTGGTCTACTTTTTACCAGTCAACCCAAATACTGAAAGCCCCTCACATGACAATAATGCATGTCGACTCAGAATCAAACATCAGAAATACTTGACGTCTGTAGTGAGGTACAGCTAAAAATAAAAAAAATAAGTAATAGAATATCAGCATTCAAATCAAAAGCTGATTAAGAATCTGTAATTATTTTAATGACTTGTTTAAAAAAAATCATGGGTTTTCTTTGAGTATTAGGGTTGACATTGTTAGAATAGTTTAAGTTAAAGTATTTGATACATTTTTTTTCATGAAGTAATTTACAAATAAGAATTCGAAAAAAAATGAATGAACCATGAAATGATCGAAGTATTTCCTCGTGATTTAATTATAGTGATATTTTTTATGAAATTTAAAAACAATTTGGCCTTCTAATGAGTAGAGTGCAGTAAAAGGTTTTCAAAACTAAATGCAATTTATTTTAAACATATTTTTGCTTAATTACATTCCTTACGTTTTAATCCATTTAAAAAAAATTATAAAATCTGAGAGTTGAATACTTTTAAATTAAAGCTTTTTAACACTTAATAATTCAAAATCAACTAAATAATATTTCAGTCATGCATTAAATGTCAAATCAGTTCGGTTGATTACTATAGAAATTATAATTTTAAGCAAAATTTAAAAAAAAAATTCATGCTAGGAGTTAACTAAAATATGAGAATAGAATAAAATTAGACATGATTATTAATACTTGTGTATTGGCAGAAATTAACTATTTATTGCATGATATTTAGTTATATACTCCCTATGAGTTTACAATTTCACTGCATCTGTATAAAACAATAAATGCAGTAGATTTTTTATCATGTTTTTAGTACTTCTTTCAAATTCAAACTCTTACGCAAATTTTCAATCTTATACGATGCTTTGAAATATTTCAGAGCATGTTTTAAATTCTAATTAAAAATAATTATTGCAATTGAAAAGATCAACTCAATCAAATAATTTAAAAATATTTATGAATAAAATTTTAGTTAAATTGTCACGATGATTAATAACTTGTTTTTGAAACTTTTATAAATTATGCATTCGTCCAACTATTAAAAAAGTTTTCCTATTTTTTTTTGATAGATTCTGAAATTTTCCTCCTTATGACAATATGACCTAAGAATGTTTTTAAATGTTAAAGTTAAAACCATTCTTAGTAGTGTACTGTGAAAGATACTTTTCGAATTTAATATAATGCACTACTAGTACAACTTAAATGAGGTGACGTATATAGGACAGAAAGACTTCAACAGTTCTGGGAAGTGCACAAGATCTACATACAGAATATGGTAGCCTTGGTCTTTTGGTTTCACAAGGTTGGCATACAGTATTAGGGATGTGGTCCCTGGTTGATGAACAGTCACACCATTGGCACTTGAAACTTTGGACGGCTTTAATAAACTTTCTTGAAAATACACTTCGCCAGTTTTTAGCGTCACTTGTTCCTTTACTGAGAGGATAAGTTGAAAAGAAACTTCCTCCAACGTCCTGAGAAAGTGCAATGCAAAGATCCTTTGGAATGCTAACTTGTGATCTTAATGCCGGTTCGCCAACAAGTTCTCGTTGAGTGACGTCTTTGGAATGATATACCGTATCTGGGTCTACCCCTGAAAAAATAATCGAAATGATATTATAAAATCGAAATGAAACAACTTCAATGTAAATACTTGTAGTTTTTTACTCCAAGAAAATCAGTAAAGCACGTTTGACGTGTATGCACTTCAGACTAAATCTCTATTGCTTTGTGTATGACGTGAACACTCATTGTGTAATATATAAAATTACAATTGACTATTGAAATTCGAAATTTCATAAAACTTCAATAAGCATATTATTTGTTGATATATTTCTTTTATATTACGAAACAATATCCGGGATAGCCTGGTCGGTAGGGAGCTGGGCCCATGTCCGATAGTTCGCGGTTTCGTTATTCTGATGCACGTTAAATCTATCGAGTCGCAAAAGTCCTCCATGTTCCCTTAACAAATCAATACCTCTGGGGGTACTGGATTGGAGATCGATCGTTCTCTGATTCAGGTCAAAGTTACGATCTGTGGATGTATGAATGGGTCCACCCTATAAACGGGTGTGACGCATGGTGTGGCAGAAGTCGAATCCTTGGCCATAGATGGCGCCACTGGAAAACAAGAACAATCGCACCCCCTCTGCTCAAACAGGCATACGTCAACCACAACAACATATTACAAAACAAATGAGATTGCTAAGTATTTTTAAGGCAAGGTGGGGCAGGGACTTAACCTTTGAGGGACGGGTGAGTCGCAAATGTATTCGTACGGAATCAGAATCAGGATAGTAAAAAATAAAAAGCGGTAGCTTAAGTTTGGGCATAACTAATTTGACAAACTTATTTTTGCTTTCACTTTAAATCTAACACATCCAATCCTAATGTGTTGAAGGTGAAACTATGCAGTTTTCAATTCGAACTAAGTAGTGGTGAATTAAATAAAGCGAACTATTATTACCCTACACACAAATAAACTGCTATAAAAATAGTTTGGCTACCAGTTTTATCTTTTTTTACACTGATTATCGACACCCTGATAATGCATATATGACTCACCAGTCTCGGAGTGGTAAATACGTAAGCCGTGAATCGGACAGCGAGCGTTGATTTGGGTAAACAATTAGCACGGCCAATACTGAGTTTTTGCTCTATTATTCAGGACCCTAGATGTTCATGAATGAAAACAAGAACCAATCAAAACAAAAAGTATTCATAGGTGAAAGCGAGACGGAAAAGAGAGTAGTTAAACCATCTCAATTTTAGCTCTATTCTCTTCGTCAAGCTATTCAATAGCATCTACTTTTTCTCCGGAAAAAAGCACTTTCTTATATTTGCTATAATTATGAAGAAAATCTCGGTAATAACAGGCATTTAATGTCTCTCGAAAAAAAAATGCTAGAATAAAATGCCTTCGGTATTAACCCTTTGGGGAAGGGCGATTCATAAGAGCATTCGTACAAAATCAGAATCAGGATGTAAATAAATAAAAGACGGTAGCTTAAATGTAGGCGTTGCTAATTTGACAGACTTTGCTTTTACTTTAATTATTGTTAGTNGTCAACAGATGTCAATTTAGATTCGATATTCAAATGTTATATTTACTATATTAATTTATGTCAACCTATGTATATATATTTCAAATTATGTTTATATTTATATATGTCAATATGTGTCAATTTAGATTCTATAGTCAAATGTTATATCTACTATGTTTATCTATGTCAACCTATGTATATATATTTCAAATTATGTTTATATTTATATGCTTATATTTATATGTGTAAATTTAGTTTCGATATTCAAATGTTTATTTACCCAAGCAAAGTGCTTGTAATTTTGTATTAGCAACCACATCGACTGCTAAATTCAAAATGTTATCACTTTAAACTTATGTAAATTTCTAGATGTATGGGATAGGGGCCGCTGCGCGACCCAGGTGCCCAATTTTTTATAAATAAAAGTAAAGTAATTTGTGACAGTCGGCGCGAAAGGGTTAGCTTTTGCTTTTTTCCGTCTTGGTATATATAGGCTTTCAACCCTGGAAGCATTTGGCATAAAAGCTTATGAACTATCTGTTGCAGGGCTGAAAATAGAAAAAACTGGTGGCAAAATCGATTTATCTATAGCTGGTTTTCCTAAAGAGTAAAGGATGCGATTACTATTTTTAAATATGAACTATTCCTAATTATTTACTTTATTTTGGGTTAAAAAAAGCAGCGCTCTACAAATGCGTCATAACTGTTCAAAAAAATCTTGAATGTAAGTGTTTCGTAAAAATTATATTAGGAACATTTGCCCTGCGTCCATACCGCTATTAAAAATTGTAAAAATAATTCAAAATTTTACTTTTGTTCATTTTTCAAGTAAAATATGTTTTTTTTTTCATAAGTAAAAACCATAATTTTAAGTTTTATAAACAAAAAACTTTATTTTTGTTTTTAAATTTATAAAAAGGAAATTGGGAAACCATTACCTATTATGTCTTTTTCTTTGCTTTTGCGAATTGAAATTTCAGCACTATGAACTACATGCAAACTTATTCCTCTTTCAAGCAAAATTTGTTGAACAACAGGATATTGTAACTGAAAAAAAAATGTAAACACATCAGGAATAAAAGTACTAATCACTACTAGTACAATATTACATCTAATTAAATTTGAGAAATCCAATATTATAAATCAGAACTTAATTTTTCTTATTTTTTAAGTAGTAAAAAATAGTAAATTTTAGAATAAGAAAGCTTTAATTTTTATAGCTTCATTAAATGAAATTTTTGCTTTGTCTATTTAAAAAGCCTATTGTGAATAAATTCAAAATTAATATATATACTATCAACAAACAACACTGGAAAACATTTATATTGTTGCATTTATATTAGTACCTGATCTTGCTGAATTCAAGTATGGGGATATCAAATCTGAGGTTAGTTTTTTTCGGAAAACTACAGATTTCCCTTAAAAAATGGCATTTTTAGTTCATAGCAATATATTTTCTAGATTCCTTAATGAAATTGTTGCATTGCCAATTTTTGAACTCTATAGAGAATAAATTTAAAATTAATACATATGCTATCAGCAAATCACTTTGGGGAGCGCATTTGTTGTTGCATATATAAAAGTGCCTGATCTTACATAATTCAGGGGAGGGAAAATCAAGTCTGAAATTAGTTGTTTTTAGGAAAGCTACAGGTTTAATGTCATTTTCAATTTTGTTTATTTTAAGTCTCAATGTTTATAAAGAACGTAATATACTTGTTACTTTATTTTTTGTCTGAATGACTAGTTTATGAAACACATACAGTTTTATATGCATACATATATATTTGTCACATCCTTTTAAAATAACACTTAAGACAAACGCATATGATCTTAACGTATCGTATCAAAATCTGAAATGTATTTTCGCTTTCTAGTGTTCCTTTCAGTGAATTAAAAAAAAAATCCAGACGAAGAATATAATAACTGCAGCTCATAGAAAGAAACAGATTGCAGCAACGTAAAAATATCTAAGATACATTCAAAAAATCTCATGCAACAGAAACACCTGAATATAATAACTGTAGCTCATAGAAAGAAACTTATTGCAGCGACGTAAAAATATCTAAGATACGTTCAATAAATCTCTTGCAGCAGAAACAGAAATAGATTTTTCACACAGTGTTTTCTTCAAAAAATAAATTTGTAGTTTTAAACCATATTCTCAAATTGTTTTTGCACAACAAATATATTTTAGCCGTTGTTTAAATGGTGCGATTAAGTGTAGTTATAAAAATAAATTATAAGCAGAACGAAAATATTCTTATAATTATTCCCCATGCACCAAAGAAATGAGTGCACTTAGTATTTCTTTCAGCGAATTTTACAAAAATCCCGACCAAGAATATAATAAATGTAGCTCATAGAAAGAAACTTATTGCAGCGACGTAAAAAATCCAGGATACGTTCAATAAATCTTTTGCAGCAGAAACAAAAATAGATTTTTTACACAGTGTTTTCTTTCAAAAAATAAATTTTTAGTTTTAAACCGTATTCTCAAATTGTTTTTACACAACAAATATATTTTTGTCACTGTTTAAATAGTGCAGTTGAGTGCGGTTATAAAAATAAATTATAAGCAGAACGAAAATATGGATTGGAATTTACCACTGCATTTATTCTTTATTTGTAGGATGGTACCTGATGTTTAATACCGAAGATCAAACCTTTGTCCTGCTGGTTACAAATGGTATGTTTTTGAAAACTGAAGAATGTTGGATTTTTGCAAGGTAATGAATATTATGCTTTTAGTAGGTAAAGAATATTTCCGAGATGTTAATTAAACATTTTATTTTGTGTGGGACCTTTCAACTATTCTTATAACTCACATTGTTTGACCCATTGCTAGACATATTCGCATTGTTCTAGAATTTCATAAACATTTAGAATCGACAAAATTTACATTTTGTAAGCATTGATTTCTATCAAAATTAGCTTACTAATTTGAAATCACATTTGCATGAAGAACAAGAAAGAATAATACGAAAGATTTCGATGTATCACTTCTGATAGATAAGTAACAGCTATTTTCATTGTTTCAAATGCTCTTGAAGATTCCTCTTTGTTACTTCGCTTGGGAAATTTCGACTATTTTTATAACCCATGCTTTATTACCCGTTTCTAGGCCCATTAACATTGCTGAAGAATCGTATAAACATTTAGAATCTAATAGATTTACATTTTGCAAGCATTAATTTTTATAAAAATAAACTTACTGATTTGAAATCATATTTGCATGAAGAACAAGAGAATAATACGAAATTCTTTGATGTATCACTTCTTGATAGATAGGTAACTGCTAATTTCATTGCTTCAAATGCTCGTGAAGATTCCACTTTGTTACTCTGTAAGCTGATCCTGCCAACAATTGAATTAATATCTCTGGAATTGAAGAAAGTCTTTCCACCGACAGTAAAAATTTCAGGTGATCCAACATCTCCACCATATCCAATTACACCAAACATGTTATCCTTAAATCCTTCGGTTTGAAGCTCTCGGTCAATAGATCGAGCAATGTTGCTCAATTCCCCAATGACGGCTTTGTTGCATTCATGGTCTTCTATTATAAAAACTACGTCAGAAGATTTCTTGGACAGATTTTCGTATTTTTTCTTGTCACTGTGTTCTAAAGTAGAACCATCTGGTCCAGTGCAAACGACTAAAAAAATAAGGCAGCAAATTAGTTAACTTATTTTCACTTCTAAATTTGCAGTTGCACACTGGCCTGAAAGTGAGACGAAAAAAAAAAAAAACTAAAGGTAAAACCAGATCATTCAACTACCACGGATTCTCCGTAGTTTGAGAAAAAAAAAATTCTTAGTTGTAGTAAGGATAATGTAATCTATTTTTATTTTTGTAAATTAGAAATAAAATAAAAAATTCCACCACTAAACACAAGTAATTTAAATAGTTAAATATAAAATAATATAGACTATAGACAAATACTTAATTTCTAATAATTATTTTGAAATATCTGTTTGTTTCAGAAAATTCTGCTTAGTACATTAATACTGAAAAAAAAATTATTAAAAATTACCGAGAATCCATAGTAGTATTTGGTGATCTCTAGGTAATATCAAATACAATTTAATATTTCTTCCAATTTAATATAAACTTATAGTAACATTTCTTGTGTGTAAGCTTAAGAGGAAATTTTTAAGGTTCTAAACCATGGCCATCCACTCCTCCAATTTTCCATAAGAGTTTTAACAGTAATTTCACTACCATATAACAGCTATAACGAGTTCGCTTTAAGGACAATGCTATCTGCTATTGTGAATCAACATAGACTTTTAGAACATGGCATATCTTTTTACTTACGGCATTTGTTTGGAAGGCTTAATTCTACATAATTTCTTTCACATTCTGCAACATAAGCAGCTGAAACTCGGCATAAAGCTTTAGTTGAGTCACTAGCTGAAGCTAGATGACGAAGGCAAAGTTGCATGTAATCTGCAGGAGAAACCTAAGAAAAGAAATTTTCCAAACATATTAGTTTAGAAACTTATCTAATTTATTACTCTTATTAAACCATTATCTACACTTTCTGATGCAATGTAGCTTGATTTGCTACACTAATCCAACAAATGTTACAAATCGTTAGAAATATAAAACTAATTAATTTTAGACGTTTGAAAATCACCATACTCGAGGTTGCACAGACGTCTTGTCAATTTAATATTTAGATGCCTCCCGTTGTTGCTGCAAATGGTAGTTATTTTGAACATATTGCTTTATAGCTTATCGCCATCTGTTGACAAACTTCATAAATTATTTTTAAACTTGGCGAGAAGAAATTAATGATTTCCACGGCAGAACGCAACAAACTATATATTTCCATCTCCCATGTTTTTAAAATGATTTTTAAAATTTTTGGTCATTTTTTGATTTTTAGTATTTGATGGCAGCTCATTTGTATTTTTAAACCTACTGAATCGCTTTCTCGCTTGCTTTATCTTATTTAAGTGATAAAAATTATTAATTATAGCCACGGCTCATTCCTGCTTAATTAAGATCTTTATGATTATTTTAGTTAAAGATTTGAGCTCATTCATTTCATAATTTACTTTAATATATGATAACAATATTTTTTTTATAAAAACACAGAACCAATAATTTTTACCATTTTTTTTTTCAATTTGTGATGAAATAAATTTTTAAGTCAAATTACAAATCAATTTATTTTATTAATTTCTTCAATCTATGATAATGTAGGCTTTTAATCTTTTTCAGAGCAGTGTAGCCAGTCTGGCAAAGCTAATTTAACAGATGTTAAGAACCACTAGAATGCAAAACTAGTTGATTTTAGACGTTTGACTATCACCATACTTTAAACAACAACGAGAGCTAATTTATGTCGTTTCAATTAAAACGTACTGTCTAAAGTCGCACTTGTTAATGTCCTGCCTGATTAAAATTTGCTATGGAAATTATCTGTTCTGGAAAGTCTTAAAGTGAAATGTTCTTCATTAAATTTTTGTTTAATATTTCTTTTCCCTTTTTTGAAAAAAATAATTAAGTCATTTGTGTTATGGGTTTTTCCTAAACAAGAGTGTGAAAAGTTTGATACAATATATTTGCATTGTCAGTTTTGAGAAAAATAAAAAAGAATATAAATGCTTGAAAGTATTTAAAACATCTGTCCTCTGGTTCTACTTACGCCACAGAGTTAACTTGACAAATTTTCGATCGCTGATTTTAGCAACACTGTATTGATTTTGACTTTTAATTTTTGTGCCATAGGTTCATTGTTTAACTGAAGTTCTGTATTACATTTTATAATATTGTGTTTGCTTTAAATAACGATATTTAAAAAGGTAAAATAACGATTACATACTTTTTCCGTGTAATTTTCAATCGCTGATCTTAGCTGTTTGCTAAGATCAGCATTTTGCTGATCTTATCTAGCTGCGAACTTGTTTAGCACTGCTTTCAGTGTGATTGCTATTTTTATTACCATAAGTTCAACGTTTAAATAAAGTTTTGGATTACATAACATAAGTTGTGAGTATTTTAAACCAAGTTTATACATCTTTATTTATATTTATGAAAATTTCATCATAAATTTCTATTTTTAATAACCAATAGATTCATTTGTGCCTGGTAATTGAATCCTTAAAACTGTAACTAACATAAGAATATTTAAAATGGCATGATATAAAAAGTAGGCAGTTTATCTTGATGAACCAAAATATTATCTATATTTGCTGCTTTCTGCAAAATAGTGAAATCAAACACGTATTGTAAATAATGTGGATCACTGTTTAAAAGTTTGAAGTTGTATAGTAAATCTCGTTACAATTTCAAGATTTGAAATACGTAAATAAACAGCTAAATTTATCGAAAATATGCATAGAATAGTAATACTTATGCAAGTCTAGAAAATATATGTAAGTAAATAAATAACTAATTAAAAATTAAAACGAAAATCGCAATGGTAATTCAGACATTTCATTTCTGTAAAAGAAATAAACACTTATGCAATAAAAGTATGTACTATGAAATACCAAGAGGAAAAATAAATTATTACTTCTCCTGCAGTGTCTTACTACCACTGAATTATACAGTTAGTTTATAAATACGGCTGACTTTGAGTAGTAGTTTAAAATAAGGTAGAACAAAGGAGTACACAAGAGCAAATTATGTAATTTTTTCGTTTTAAATTTCATATATAATTACTTATAATATTTAAAAAGTTGAAGAAGAGTTATTAGTATGCATCTTTGTCAAAGTACAGGAAAAAATATCTGAAATTATAAGAATTGGAGAGTGATCTGTTGTTTGAATCTTATAAATTGGAAATTGGTTTAGAAATGGTTAGAAATTGGAAATTGGTTTAGAAATGGTTAGAAATTGGATCGTTAGAAATCGGTCAAAAATTGGCTTTAAGTAGACGCGATCAATAATCAGAGAATCAATTAATAACGATTGAGAAAGGATGAGCATAATGAGTTACTATTACATATTTAAGAAATTGAGAAAGGAAATTGTTATCTTAATCAGGTTTAATCACTATTTAGAAATGCTGAGCTGTTAACATCAAAATCGTATGATTACATGATTAAACTTAGAGCAGTTTTTAAATAACCATAGCTCAACTCCTGTTTTCCCGGTGTTTACAGTTCTGCTATCCATTTTATTGATTTTTCAGATTTCAATAATTTTTTTTTTATTGTTTCCCTCAAATATTAGCTTGAGACCCTTAGTTTGTACTTTTTTTTATGTAACTTTTTTAATCAGGATTTTAAAATAAATTCATTTGGGTAGTCATTTCGGAACACCCTGTATATATGCAGAATAATCGGACTACTTCCATAAATTTGTTTGCTCATTTTATGTAGAGCAAAAATTTAATATAATTATGAGTAATAAAGTAAGCAAGATCTTGTTTCTTACTTCAGAGTAACATGCTGATAAAGGTGATGCGTCATCAACAAAATGTTGCCGGCATAATTTATAGTAGTCACTTCGTTCATTGATACGGGGTTCAGAGACTAAATTGTTACTTTTGCAACCTTTCTTTAACTCCCAACTTTTTGCGTGGACTGTTGCAGAATTGGCAATCTGTCCTTTTGGTCTTTTGAAGTCATCTTTAGGTTCATAGTTGTACGTTCCTAAAAGACCAGCAGTTTTGCCGAAGTACCATCCAGTTATAGAAAATGTACAAAGCTCATGAACTAAGTTACATTTAACTTCAACTCCATGACGATCATTAATAGTTATAGCATTGCCAGATCGAGAAACAACGAAGTCTTTCGATATGTATGGTAACTCGACAGCTTTGTCTCCAACTAAGACCTGCGAAAGAAACCAAAACGAAAATATAAGTGGATTTTCAGAAGAATAAAACATTCCCTCTATGTTTACCCAATTTTTTATTTTTGAATTTTAAGTTTTAAATTATTTAGATGAAACTGAATTTTTTAGGAAAGTTATCGTTCATTGTATATCATCCTCTTAAGACAATATACATTATTTCTGGATTTACAAAGAAATAAATGACTATAATGTCTAAAAACTTACTGATTTATCAGCTGGATTTAATTCAACGCTGGCATCATTTATCCATGCTAAAATGGAGGGACTTTTTTCTCCTTCTTTTGGTGTCAGTGCAAAGGTGAAATTTCCATCTTCAAAATCTCTGGTCAAAAGATAAGTGCATTCTCCAGCGAAATCGAAGAATTCCTTGTCAAAGGTTACATAATGTTGGTTCCCAAGTATCATTGCTTGAGCTGTAAAACATATTTTTTAATTAATGCATTTAATTAGTGTTTTGTACTTTCAGAGAAAAGAAAGCTCGATTTTATTTTTCTGAAGTTCATCAGCATTTATTTCCGTAGTCCATTGTACAGTTCATCAACTAAAACTCGCATTAGAGATTTAAAGGTCATTAAGCACTTTCTTATATTTTGAAAACAATGTTATACTAATGCTAATTTTAATTAGTCTAAATGTCAATTTAAAAAGAAATGAAAGCCCCAAAAATAACAGCAATTATCTAAGTAAATCAAATGCTATGTTTTCACCTCCATAAATCTTTTTTATGTAATATTACCAATTTATTCGATATTATCTATAAAAGGGGTATTAAAATTATCATTTTTATCAATAACATAGTCACCGCTAACAAGACTGCCGATATTCTGCATTTTATTTTCCACTTGGGCAACACATTTTTAGTTTTCAAAAATATAGAAATAATTAGTAGTCTTAGACATATCGCCACCAAATTTTCTTCAATACCATATAAGTTGTAATGTAACTAAGTAGTTAATTCAAATAACTCCAAGAAGAATTTAGTTATAAATCACATGGTTACGCCGATGAGTTGAAACTATTTTGGAGATTATTTTCTCCCATCTTCTAGAATAAACCATGCTAAAATTGGGGGCCAAAGTTTATAGACACGATCCATGGATTAGTGGGTAAAGTAGACGAATACCGTCGTGGTGGAGGTCATTATCCCTATCTTTTAGATTAAACTACGTTAAAATTGGGGACCGATATTATATATATATATATATATATA